CTTCTGATTTCTGTGGGTTCCACTGTGATTTCACCCTTTTCATTCCTAATTGTGTGGATGTAGATCTTTTCTTTCATTTTTTCATAAGGTTGGATAAGAGTTTATCTTTGAAAGAACCAACTCTTTGATTCATTGATTCTTTGTGTTGTTTTCTTAGTCTCCATTGCATTAATTTCTTCCCTACTGTTTATAATTTCCTCCTGAAGAGCTTTTGGCTTAGCCTGCTCTTTTTCTAGAAGTTTGAGTTTTGCTGTTAAGTTGTTCATTTGTGTTTGTTCTTTTTTCCTGATATCAGTATTTACTCCTATAAATCTCCCTCTTAAAACTGCTTTTATTATGTACCCATAAATTATGGTATGTTGTATTGTCATTATCACTTATTTGTGGAAACTGTCCAATTTCTTTGTAAACTTCATCTGTGATCCATTGGTTGTTCAAGAGTATGCTATTGAATGGGCCTGGGAAGATGGCTCAGTAGAATAAGCGCTTGCCTGGCAAGTACAAGGGCCTAAGTTCAATCCCTGGTTCTGCCAAAAAAGAGGGAAAAAAAGAGTGCTGTTTACTTTCCATGTGTTTATGAAGTTGTTGTGGTTTATTTTGCCATTGATTTCCAGTTACCCTGCTCTATGGTTTGATAAAATGTGTGGGATAATTTCAGTTCCTTTTCATTTCCTTATATTCTATGAGCTAATGTGTGGCCTGGGAGATGTTTTGGAGAACATCCCATGTGTAGCTGAGAATATGTATTATAATGTTTTTGGATAGAACACTCCGTAGACATCTACTAATTCTATTTGTTCAAAAATTTGTTGCAGTTCTTATATTTCATTGTTAACTTTTTGTCTAATTGATCTGTTTTCTTGTCACAGTGGGGTATTGAGTTCCCCTGATTGCACTAATACTAATTGTAATAGTGCAATTATTTGATTTTCCATGTCCACTAATATTCCATTAATATTTATTTTATATAGTTGTATGCACTGATATCTGTTGAAGTTATCTCTTCCTCTTGGATTGTTCCCTTTAAAAGGGTGTAGTGACCTTCTTAATTTCTCCTAATCATTCTTGGCTTGAAATTCACTGTCTATAAATAGAATACCTAGCTATCCCTGATTTTTTCCTGGGTTCCTGTCACAGGGAGTATTCTTTTCCATCCTTTGACTTTTAGTATGTGAATTTTTTTAATTAAATGTGTTTCTTGTATACAGCATATTGTTGGATCTTGTTTCTTGAACCATTCTACTAGTTTGTGTCATTATTTGATGAATTGAGACCATTAACATTGATGGTTATAACTGATATGTATTGACTTATCCTTATCGTGTTATTTTCCTGTTGTGCACCACCACCACCCCTTCCCTTCGGTGTTTAACTGTTTGCCTTGCCTGGTGGATTTCTTCTGTTAGGATTCATGGAGTTGCAGTCTTTGCCATCTCTTTCTTAATGTCTTTCAAAACATTTTGGAGTGCTGGTTTGGTGGCCATAAATTTCCTCTGATGTTCTTTGTCATGGAAGTATCTTATTTCTCCAGTTTTGAAAGATAGTTTTGTGGGGTACATCAATCTAGATGGAAAATTGTTTTCCTTTAGAACTTAAAATATTTCACTCCAAGCTTCTCTTGACTTGAGGGTTTGTGCTGAGAAGTCTTCTGTGATTCTAATGGGCTTTCCTTTATAGGTGATTTGGTTTTTTTCTCTGAGAGCTTTTACAATTCTATTCTTGTGTTGAAATCTTGGAATCTTGATTACAATATGCCTAGTTATTGATTTTTTTGATCATGGCTACTTTGAATTTTATATGCCTCGCTATCTGTATGTCAAAGTCTTTTTCTGTACTAGGGAAATTTTCTGCCATGATGTCTATGAACAGTTTTTTGTTTTGGGGTTTTGTTTTGTTTTGTTTGCAGATCTGGGGATTGAACGCAGGCCTTTATGCTTGCTAGGGAAGCGCTTATTCTACTGAGCCATCTCCCCGGCCCCAGTTGTTTTTTTAAAATTATTTATGCTATCTCCTGCTTTTTCATTTCATTGACTCCAATCAATCATAAGTTATTGTTCTTTGCTTCATCTAGCAGTTGCTAGATTGATTTCTCATGGTCTGTTATTTTTAAGAAATCTTTCTTTTCGTGATCACTAACTGCAGGCCTGCCTTCTATATCTGATGTCCTGTCCTCACATTGGCTTAATATGCTGTGGATACTTTCAATGAAGTTTTTATTCTCTTAGATATCTGATTGAATCTCCCTTATGCATTCCATTTCTCTCCTATGCTGAGCTTTCATGGTTTCCATTATTTTCATATGCGCCTCTATTTTTTTGCCTGTATCTGCTCTAGAGTCACTAAGCGTGGTTTTCATTGTGATTACCATCTCTGTACTTTCTGAAAAATTATTTCTGATTTTATTTTTTCTACAGCCTCATTCAATTGTTGTTACCACTTCAGAGAGGCTGGGTGAGTGGCTTTCAGATCATTCCAGCTCACTGTACCTTGGTTTGTTTTCAGTGAACTAGAAATCTGGGATTGAATTTTTTTAAGTATCTTCTCATTTTCTTTTCCTTTTTTCTTAATTTAATTCTTGGGGTTATGCTTCTAAATTGCCAATGGTGGGTTGCTTTATTGCTTGTATTTAGAACCTTTAGAAAATGACTATTTCTCTCAGATGTCTTCCAGGCATAGCTGGTTTAACCTGATGGGGATGAGAAGTTGCTGCCTGTTTGTCCCAGCCCCTGGTTCTTTGACACTGTGCCATAGTATTTTCTATGACCCTTAGACCATATCAGTCTTGGATTACCAGAAAGAATAGCTGTTTAGAACAGGTATGTCACTTTAGGCTATAGTGGTACCATCAGCATTGACAATAACATCAAACACAGCCTAGAAAATGACAAACTGAGCTAACCATTAATTTGCCACTTTTAACTGTATGAACTAGATTTGTGGTTATATATCAAAATTTAAAACCAAAAAATTATATGCAGTATACAAGTCTTTAATATGTCAATTTTGTCCTCTAAGGTTAATATTTAAAATGTGCTAGGGAGAAAGCAGAGAAATGGGTGAAGAGGAAGAAGTAGGGCTGGAAAGCAAAGGACGATCATGTTGCATTTGGGAAACTGGTGCAGAAGACTGGAGGGAAAGTGAGAAGAAAAAGAAAGAACAGAACAGAACTACAACCACAGAGAGCCTAGAAACCATGTTCATACTCATATAAAAACAAGATCAAACTATGAAGGAGAAAAAAACAAAACAGAAAACAAAAACAACAACAACAAACAAGCAAGAGAGCAAGACAAAAGATAAAGTCTAATTCCACGTTTGTCTCTGCTGTCAATGGTAGATAAAATGTATACACAAGTCCAATCCTGCTGATTTATCCCAGCAAGACAGCAGTAGCTTTTTGGTGGGTAACGGATAATCTTAGCAAGCCTGTAACTTCTGACTGATACCCCATTTATTTGGCCTGTAGCCTTCAGCCCACCTTTGGTGGGCCTGAGCCCTGCTGGTAGCCACTAATGGAGTCAGCAGTTGCTCTCAGTTCTGAGCTCAGCCGACCCCTCCCTAAATGGCTCCTGGCCAGTCGTTCTCTCCACTGAGCCCCCAGCTAATGCAGTCCTTCATGCCTGCTGCTCCCCTATCTGTGCTTCTCTCCATGGAGGCCTCAGAGGTCACCAGCAGTCACTGGCACCCACAGATTTGAACTGCTCCTCTTTCACAGTGAGTCCCGTGTCAGGGAGAAGGCACTGTGGGCCACCTCCTTCCTCTTTGTTCAACTTTCTTCTCTCTCTCTCTCTCTCTCTCTCTCTCTCTCTCTCTCTCTCTCTGTCTTTCTGTCTCCCTCCCACCCTCCTTGCAGGGTCTATGCAGTTTGTACTTGAACTCATGATCCTCCTGCTTTCAGCCTCCCCAGCACTGGGATTTCAGGCATGTGCCTCTAAGCCTGGACTTTGGCCTGCTTAGCCCGCCCTGGGGGCATGGCTGACGCAGCATGTGGTGCCAGGGATCAAACCATGGTCCCCATGCTTGCCTAAGCTTGTGTAAGCAGGCACTTTAGTCTGCTGAGTTATCTCCAGCCCCAGTCCCTTCATTCTCTGCTGGCTTCAATTCAGACCCTTCCTGGGTTCAGGTTACCTCTTCCCTCCTTGTCTTCCTCTCATTCCTGTATTCGAGCATTGTATGGCAACACTCCAGAGAGGCTCCTTCTCTGCTGCTTACACTCTGCCATTTTATTCAAACCTCTTCTAGTTTTTTTTTTTTTAAGTTAAATTTCTGTTACAGTGTGTGTGCAATACAAAAAAAAAAAAAAAAATAGATAAAAATCTAAGATCCCAAGTGCTTTAAAGTCTGGATGAGAGAAGAAAATACTTCTAAAGATTACAATAATAATATAATAATATAAAAGCAATATTTACCCAAGGTATTGCTGTTACTTCCTCTATTTTACTGCTGAGCAAACTGAAGCAGAGAGTGATTAACCTAAGGTCTCACAGGGAGTCACAGGCAGACAGAGCCAACGTTCAGGTGCAGGAAAGGTAGCTCTGTGGCCTGTGGCCTGAATCATTAGGTTACACTTCAAATAACAAAATTAACAAAAAAAAAAAATACATGTGAACTATCAAAACAAATGGGAGCAACCAAAACCAAACCTGAAAGCTGGCGGGTGTGGATAACAGAGCCTGTCTCCTGCCATGACTCACAGCCCTTCGTCCCCTTGTGTGTACAGACACAAGGGAGGGGAGGTGGATCATCTGAGGCCAATCTTCATGGACATAGACTGAGGTTGTGCTCTCTTTCCTATTTTTTTTGGATGTGATAACTCAAGCCCTAAATGCCCATCTCAATATCTGAGTATTCTGGCTAGATTTTATTTTTTCAATGTAACTTTTCTTTCAGTGTCTTTCCAAGGTAAGTATTAAAGTATGAAGAGAAAAATTCCCTTTTAATACTTATTTTCCAATAATAAGAATATCTTCCAAAATTTGAGTTATTCCTTTTTTTTCTAGGCAAATTACAAAAGGAAGGTGGTTTATCACGAGCCTCTGATGAAAGCCTCAGTAAAGTCCAGGAGGCAGAGTCCCCAGTCTTCACAGAGCTACCAGGCACCAAGACCAGCGACGACAGCACTGTCCCTCTCACTAGGCCATCTGGGGAGATATCAGGGGCTTCAGAAGGCCCCTCCACAGGAAGCCACCCCCGGGCTGCCTACGGTAGGGCTCCCCTTAACAGCATGGTTCATGTGTGGCGGGGGACCTTTCTCAGGAGAGGACTTGTCTCGGTCCCCAGTTTAATGTTATGTGTCTTTCTGGTACTGGAGGTTGAGTCAAAATCTCATGTGACCTAGGTACGTGCTGTACCACCTGAACACCTAGACAGAGTTGAGTCCTTGGGAAGCCACATCATTGTCACAAAGCAGGTTCTCTCTTGTCCTGTGGCTTTTGCCTTACAGTGCTGGCATTGTCCCCCACTCTCCAGAAGTCATGGAGTTGCTGAAGATCAGTTCGCTCAGCTCTGAGGCTGCCTTCCTCAGGGAAGATGTGAGGAGAAAATTAAAGCTGGAAGGCAGGAGTAGTTCCCACCACAGAAGCACAGAATCAGAAACCAGATAGACCTTTCCAGGCTGTCCTTAGCTTCTTGACACCAGGGGCTGTGAGGAGTGGGCCCTGGCCCCTGCTACCTGTGGGCGCAGACTCAGACTCTGCCCCCAGGAGGCAAACTAATGTTTGGCATTTTTCCTTTGGTCCCAGGGACCAAACCCAAGCCATGGGTGATCAGTGTGCACTCTATCACCGAGCCACACTGCAGCCCTCCAGATAAGCAAATCGATTCTGCCTCTGATCTGAAGACTCCCCTGACAATGCCTAATGACCTGTTAAGAAACACCAGCATCTCTCTCTCATCTGCCTCATATGCCAAGTTTTGCTAAAATAAATTCCTTATAGCATCTTCCTTTATTGACACCTAGAAACAGAAGAATGTGGTCCTTTCTGAAAGCTACCTTACAACAGAATTTCAATAAAATTTTTTAAATAATTTTATTGAGAAATAGCAATAAGACAGTTTCAAAACTGATTACTAGCACAATTTCAATAATTAATACATTGCATATTGTTGTCTTAGTGGTTATTCATTCTTCAAGATGCAGACATGATATCCTGTCCACAAACACTATTAGTACAAATCTATTCATTGAATTAAGAGAATGCAGCTTTATATTGATTCTACTTTGAATATACAGACACAAAATGGTCATTCATTTGTATCCCCTTTTTCGTTTAGTTTTGTCAGAGAAGGGCATTCCATTGTCATTTAAATATTGTAGGTGCGTGAGTTCAGCAAAATATTCAATGTAGTCCAGTAGTCCATAATAGTAGTGGGTTTTCCATAAGACTGGTGATGTCAAAAGTTGTTGACTTGAGCCTTTTACAGCTCAGTATATTAATATAGCTTTACTTTTTATACCTCGTTTTTATACTTTTCTGCTGGATGGTTAAGACCAAGATAAAGCAGGACCTATATAACAAGAAATGTAACTCTTCTATCTGATAAGGTCAGTCAAGTTCCCTCAGGATTTATCCTGAAACCCTGTACCACAGTTTGTAGATCCTTTGTCAGCATCAGCCATGTGGATGAGTCATGGCCATTGCTTGACCAATTTGCTCTCTGTAAAAGCCTGAGAGAATGTTTTCTCTCCACATGACTCTCCTTAGGCACACTCTACACCATCAGAATTTCAATAGCATTTTTGCACTGCCATGTTATTATTTCTAACGTCTTGTTGTTTGTAAGCGTTGGTTGGTTCATTGGTTGGCTGGTTGGTTGGTTGGTTGGTTGGTTGGTTGGTTGGTTGGTTGGTTTTAACTTCCTACTATGTCCTTGCTGCACAAAATATATAAGGAAAAGAATTTAAATCACCCATAATCCAATTTGTGAGGCTCAGAGCCATGAAATGTTAGGGAAATTTCCCCCAAACATGGTTTCTGTCAAGAAGTGGGGACATTTCCCTCAGACATGATTTCTATCAGAAGGTTGGACAGTCATAAGGCTTTGTTAACTCCCTTTCAGGACGGGCGCTTTCTATGACCCATGGCTCTGCAAAGTCACCAGTCTCCAATGGCACCTTTGGCTTTGATGGCCACACAAGGAGTGATGGTCATGTGTACCACACTGTACACAAGGACTCGGGGCTCTACAAAGACTTGCTGCACAAAATCCATGTAGACAGGGGCCCTGAAGAGAAGCCAGCTCAGGAGAACAACTACAGGCTGCTGCGGAGGAACAACAGTTATACCTGCTACACGGCAGCCATCTGTGGCCTGCCTGTCCATCCCACCTTCAAGGCCACTGACATGTCCTCAGCCCCCGAGGACAGTGAGAAGCTGGTGGGGGATACTGTGTCCTATTCTAAGAAGAGACTTCGCTATGACAGCTACTCCAGCTACTGTAATGCAGTAGCAGAAGCGGAGATCGAGGCAGAAGAAGGTGGTGTGGAAATGAAGCTGGCATCTGAGCTCTCAGATCCGGGCCAGCCTCGAGAGGACCCTGTGGAAGAAGAAAAGGAAGAGAAGGATGCAGCTGAGATCCACCTCCTATTCCACTTTCTTCAGGTCCTCACTGCCTGCTTCGGGTCCTTTGCTCATGGAGGCAATGACGTGAGGTGAGGAAGTTCACAGATTCAACAAGCATGAATGAGGGGCCAGTGGGTGCCGGAGTAGAGCAGCGCACAGTTTGAGGGCACAGTGACAGCATGCACTGCATGCTAGGAAGCAAGAAAAGCTACAGAGGGAATCAAGAGGCAGGCCAGGGCAGGGTGTGCTGAGTGGGTTGGGAGTGGGTGAGGGCCTGAGCCTGAGAGCACCATGGGAAGAGGCCACAGGCTGGAGGCCAGAGGTGGAGTGGGCCTGGGTGCTCTGGGAAGAGCAGGACACCCAAGGGAGGTGTGGTCAGCAGGACCCAGAGACCTGCAGTGAATGCAGCCAGGTGGACTCAGGAGGTTTTCACCTGCTGGCTGATGCTGATACCTACAAGCCACTGCTCCAGAGACCGAGACAGGAAGAGCACTGAGCGCAGGAGTTGTGCCCACCTTGGGCAACACAGCATAGACAGACAGAGTGAGGGAGTTTTATTCCGTAAAAGGGGAGCAGAGACTTACAGATGCATGCTGAGCACACTCACTCTGGCTTCCCCTGGGACTCCATGGGAGGCCTGTTAGGAGCCTTCTGAAGTTGTCCAAGAAGAGATCATGACACGGGGTCTGGAGAGGGGCCAGGGCACTGGACCTTCAGGATTTGTGACAGGTTGAGTCAGTAAGTACGAGAAAGCAAAGCAGCAGGTTGTTCTGCTGCCCAAGGGAGTGCCACTGCTGATAGGTGGGATGGCCAGAACTCACGTTCAGAGCCCTGTGATGTTCAGGGGATATGGCCACCATCAACCCTGTGTTCAGAGGAAGGCCAGGTGGGGTGCAGGTGAGGCCCATGGGGGTGATGCAGACAGGAGACCCTGGGAATGGAGGGCAATGAGGTAAGAGCTAGGGCCCTGGGGGTTGTGGGAAATGGCAGTGAATGTTGAGGGATTTGCAGCAGCTGATTTTGGGTCCGCTGACCTGGAAGCTGACATTGGTACTGCTTTAAGTCTTTATTCATTTACAACTTTTCACTTGTTACTAAAAGGTACTCTCAAACTTGCAAGCAAAATATTAAACTTCCAGCCATTTAGTCAGCAAATGTTTACTGAGCAAGTAGTACTGTCAGGGAGTTCCTTTAGAAATGGTTCACCAGGTAAACATTCCAGGTCCTTCTTGCCTCAAACAAGAATTGGGCAAGATGAGCCCAAAACAGTGACAAAAGTTGGTTTGAAAAATGAGAGGTGATGGGTTCAGGAGAAACCAGCTCTACAGAGCAAACTTGGGCTGAACAAGAAAAAAAGAAAAATAAAAGTGCACTCTGCTTTAAAAGACGCAGAGTGGGCTGCTGTGAAGAGTCACAAGAGCGGGCTCCTCCTGGCATCTGTGTCCTCTGTTCCAACCACAGCTTACAGAGCCTGCGAATGGCCCTGGCATCTTGTGATTAAGAGGTGCCTCTCACTGCCAGGCAGCTTTGCTACACACTGTCCATTTCACTGCTGTGTGTGTGTGAGGCTCTGGAACCCAAAAGATCAGCACAAAAGCGAGGGACCTCACTGCCCCAATCCTGGGCAGCGGTGGTGGCAGTGGCTCCAACTGCTTACCGGGACATGCAGGGCCCTGGGGCCACTGGCAGGGTCACCAGTGCAGCAGCAGTCACAGCTTCCAGACTGGACCCCCAGGTGGCACAAAGCAAGTTACCAAGCATTTTCCTTGGGTGGCCTGTGGCCTCGCATCCTCCTTGTGCATACGTGTCCAAGCTGTGTAGTCAGCACCCCGCCATGGCCTCAGTGCAGTGTGGCAGTTTGCGTGAGCAGGGGCACAGGGACCTTCTGCCTTAGCCTCCCCTGAACAGCTCTGAGCAGCCAGGGCAGGTATGCCCTTTGCATCTTTCTTCTCTTCTTGGATCTGGCTAGGTAACCTACAGGGCGCCCACCTTCCTGGCCTCAAAAGGGGTAAGACCAGCGACAGAACAGGCATTCCTGCAAGGATGCTTCTTGCATGCCTGAATCTGTGACTCTCACAATGATTGCTGTCCTCTCCACCCTTAGGCTGTTTCTTCCTGGCCAGCCAGGTGCCGCTCTCGCCTGGCTTGCATCCCGGACCTGGCATCTGTGTAGCTTTCCATGTGCAGTTTCCCTCTGCTCTTGAGCATGGAGGTTGTGCTGCCAGGCACATCTGGGCATCTGCCCCACACTCATGGAGATTTCTGGGGTTTGCTATTTGGGGTGCTGTCTTCTGCCCTGTCCTACTACATTTTTGTCTGCCTCCCACATCATCCCACTTCCTCTCCCTTGTCTTAAGAATTCTTCGGTAAAGGCTTGACCTTACCGAGGTCTGGCCTCAGACCTTCAAGTTTGTTCTGTGGTTGGGGAGACCAGAAAGATTGGGTAGAAAAGTCACACCCCCCCCTCCAAAAGAGTGCTTCAGCCTCAGAAGAAGAGTCCAGGCAGTGGCTGCTCCGGAGGGTCAAAGCCTGGAGTAACTGCCCACAGCCTGGGGACTGGTTTTCATGTGAGGAAAGCAAAGTTCTAGAAATTATAGTCTGACAACGAGGTCAGGCAATGCAACATTATCAGGTTTGTAGCAGCCCCCCGAACTAAGTCCTTTATGACTTGTTTTGATCCTCTGAGAGGTAGCCCTTTGCACTAGGTAAGTACAACCTTCAGGATGGGCGGAGCTCAGAAGTGAGGCTACCTGCCAGGGGCCACAGTGAGAGACGACGAGACCCTTGGCCTTATACTGCTGCAGAGCTGGGCTGGAGGAGACAGGTGAGAGCACCTGCCCGGTACCCCTGTGTCACTTTGCATAACTGCCAAGGACAGGCAGAGGGCTTCTGTCACTGCAGCCTGAATATTGGCTACATGCTCGCCATAGGGCCTCAGGCCACAGCCCTCCCCAGGGTAGCAGCAGACAGCATCAGGGGAACTGCGGGCTGGGGAGAGACCTGAGGACAGTAAGAGAAAAAAAGAACGTGCTTCCTAGGTTATTTCTTGTGATTTTTCCAGCACCTGTAAGTGAAATAATAAACAACAAACCCATTAAGACAGTGTCTATTGAGAAGATGTCAAGTAATTGCTGGCTAGAATGTGGAGAATTGGAACCCCTGTGCACTATGAGCAGGAATACAAATGATATAACCATCATGGAAAACAGTATGGAGGGTCCTCAAAAAGCAAAAACTAGAACTGTTTGATCCAGCCAGCCTACTTCTGGGTACCTGTCCCAACGAACTGAAGACAGGGTCTCAGAGAGAAACGTATACACCCACAGTCAAAGCAACGGTATTCATGACATTGATGGGAGCAGCCCAGGTGTGCAGTGAGGACGGATAAATAAATGTGGTGAAGATTCATACAAGGGATGTGACTCTTTAAAAAGGAAGGAAATCTTGGTCTGTGCTACGTCGGCAGTGAACCCTAAAGACATTGCACTAAGCACAATTCTCCCGGATGAGGGATCTAAAGGAGGCCTGAGTCACAGGCTGGAAGGCAGGAGGGAGCGCAGGGAGGGCCACAGGGAATTGTCTAGTGAGCACAGAGTTTCAGATTTCAGATGACAAGGTCCTGGAAACCTTTTTTACAGTAGAGTAAGTATATTTAACACTACTAAACTGTATTGGCTCTACATTAATAGATAATGTGAAAGTACTTTAAGATCTGTGCAAACAATTTTTACTCTGAATTGTTTGTTCTTGTTTTTCATATCAATACCTGAGATATCTTCCGTCTCTGAATAAAGGTTTTGGCAAACTGAAAATAAATAGATAAAATAAATAAACTGTACCCATGGAAACAGCCAAGATGCCAAGTGCTGTGCTGTGCCCCTGACCGCAGTGAAACAGCCCTTGTTGTCACCACCAGATTATCCCATGAGCCAGACTACAGCCAGACCTTTCGGCCCTCAGGGCTGAAGATGAGGGGTGCTGGCCAGACGCTGCAGATCTTTTTGACAATCTTTTCTTTTCCAGCAATGCCATTGGGCCCCTGGTAGCTTTGTGGCTGATTTACGAGCAGGGCGGAGTAATGCAGGAAGCGGCCACACCTGTCTGGCTGCTGTTCTATGGTGGAGTTGGCATCTGCACGGGTCTCTGGGTCTGGGGGAGGAGAGTGATCCAGACCATGGGGAAGGACCTCACGCCCATCACCCCATCCAGGTAGGCAGAGGGCCCTGGGAGTGTGGCCAGTGGCGCAGCGCTTACCTACAGGGGTGCAGTGGGGAGTGTGAGACTCCTGCCCTCACTAGGAGCCCCAGTGTGATTCAGAATGGGGAAGCTGGAATAGCAAGGGAGAGCCTGATACCCTGAGGGGACCCAGGAGCCCACAGCAGCTGTCAGGGTTCTCCAGCCCCCACCTCACCTCAGGGAGAGCCTGCCTGGCCTCTGAGTTAGTCAGTGTTCTGTCCCCATACACACACCTAGAATATTCTGCTGGAAAAGAGGAAAGTAACCTGGGCATGTCTATAATCCCAGCCCTCTGCAAAGCTGAGACAGGAGGATTGCCAAGTTTGAGGCCAAACTGTACAACACAGTGACTTAGCAAGCCCCTCTCTCAAAATTTAAAAAGCAAAGGCTAGAGATGTAGCTGAGTGTGGTACTGGGGTCAGTCCCCAGTACCAAAGAGAGACACAGAGTGAGAGAAAGAGAGAAAGCTGTGAAAGGTTCTGCTCTGCATGTGTTGGCTCTGGCCATCCAGGTGGCAGTGTGTGGCAGAGCACAGCTGCCGTCTGCATGGCCAGGATGCACAAGAGTAAGGAGGGGCCGGGTGCCCGGATGCCATTCCTGGGACCTGCACACACCAGGCCCCACTGAGGTTCAGCCACCTCCAGCTACACCACTGTGGGGACCACCCCTTAACATGGGGGCGTGCAGGGAACTTTTGAGATTTGAAGGACAGCTGGACATGGTGGTACCCACCTGAATCCCAGCTGCTCTGGAAACTGAAGCAAGAGGGCCACGCATTCAAGGCCAGCCTGGTCAACTCAGCAAGTATATCTCAAAATTTTTATATTTTACTGGAGATGTAGCTCTGTTGATTCCTGGGTTCAGTTAAATCCCTAGTCACACGCATGCACGCACACAACACACACACGTTAGCCATGCCCACACTCTTCTGCCCTCCTTCTGAGGTTACCTTGTTCATCCTTCCTGTAACCCAGTCACAAGGGCTAGTGTGGCCACTATTTGGGGGGCTTTGTGTGTGGTCATTCTGTTGTGTAGTCTTTGGATACATTAGAGTTAAGTAACAAAGAACTTTCAGAACTTTCCAGCTACAAGTTAAAAGTACCTATTATTGGAAATCTTTTTTTCTCTGTCCCTTTCAAACATTGGAAGTGTCCATGTCTCTCTTTTTCACATTTTCAGTTTTTCTCCTTTGAAATTTATTTTAATAGAAGATTCTTTCAGAAGACTGATTAATCATGTGAGAAAAATTTGTTTTTTATAATCACACATTGTAAAAACAAGTGCATAGCTTATCCCATTCCCCTTTTAAATGACAGTCCCCAGCAGGAGCTCCTGACCCAGTTTCCTGCAGTGTGTGGGAACTGGATCAGAGACAGCAGCCTGAATGGTGCTCAGCACCAAGTCTAGCCAGGCTGTGACTCGCTGTCAGCCTGCTGCCCTCTGGTTCTATATCAGCCTGGCCCATTAGCAACTGCCCAGAGTATTCGGAGGGACCCCGAGTGTGCAGTTCTGGGGAGGCGCCTGCTGTCTGTGATGCATCTTCCTGTGTCCCCCTCCCCCACAGTGGCTTCACAATCGAACTGGCCTCAGCCTTCACGGTGGTCATCGCCTCCAACATTGGGCTACCTGTCAGCACCACACACTGTAAGGTAGGCAGGCACCCTGGTGCCCATCACGGAAAAGCAGCTGTGCTTTCTATGTGGTTGCTGTTCCAAAAAGACTCCTAGAGCACCACTGGGTAAATGTGGCATTTGCTTCCCTCTGACTGTCCTTGGGGCTGACCACTGGTGATGCCTCAGTGTGTATCTTTTCCTGGTGCAAGTACCAGGCCCTCTGTGTGTGTGTGTGTGTGTGTGTGTGTGTGTGTGTGCGCGCGCGTGTGTGTGTGTGCGCGCGCGCATGTGTGCATGCACACATGTGTTACACATCCCAGGAATCTGTGCCACCCTCATTTCTCCACACTGGACTTGCCATTGGTGTCACATGTGCCCAGCCATATTCTGAAATGGCAAGGTTCAGTTCTGGCCATTGGTGGGGATAAGGGGACTGGGCAGTGGAAGTAGAAATGGATAAACAGAAACATGAAATAAGACACAGGAGCTCAGTTCTGTCCCTTCTGTGATGTTCAGAGTGATGATGTCACCTGGGAGTAAAGTGCAGGTGAAGTGTGACCGGTAACATGACCCGGGCTATGTAAGAGGCCATGGCATCAGAGTGTGAGGATCTGGGCAACTCAGGGTTCCAGGGATGCACAGCAGGAGCGCTGGAAGTGGCCCCAGTTCTGGTGGCCCAGGTCTATACAGAATCTTGAGATGATGCTGAATGTTCCCCAGGGGCCTCTTACATACAGAAGTACTCAACAACCTCAGAAAGCAAAGCTACTTCCAGATGGTCCCCACATTCATGTAGGAAACAGCTGTGGGTCCCCACTGTGCACAAACCACTATCACAGGCCCCACTGGGATTCAGCAGCCACAAGGTAGACACCATCACTACATTAGCTACATCCTCACATCCCAACCAACATGTTGCCAAACAAATACCAGCTAAGTGCGAGTGACTCAGTGCTTCCAGTATTAAGGACAGGTGGCATGTGTGAGTGCTCAAAGTGGGCTGGCATGTTTACACACAGCATGAAGGTTACCCTCGTTGGGAAGAAGGGCCCTGTCCTTTTGTCCTTTGCTGTGATTTATAGAAAAACCTCTGTTTCCATGAATTCTCATTATAAAATCACAGCTTGCTGAGTGTATGCAGTGTGCCAGGCCCTGTGCCTCCTGCTTGGCACAAGGGAGGAACAGAACACCTCCTTTCCACAGCCACACTGTGAAATGATCTGTTATTCCCAGTACACAGGAGAAAAACTGAGGCCTCAGAGTTAATCATTTTCCAGAGATCCTGCAGCTAGCAGGTGACAGAAGTGGCCTTAGTGTGCTCCTCTGGGACAATCCTGTCATCACCAGGGTCACCAAGCCTCAGTCATACCAAGTCTTATTTGCTGCACCATGGGAAGTGCTCTGGGAATACTCACACAGGTCAGTGTCCCCAGAACCTCTGGAGGGAGGGTAAATGTCCCTTGCACAGGTGCCAACCTTGAGGCAGAGAAAAGTTAAAACTATGAGAATAAAAAGTTTCTCCCACCTCTGGTCCTCCTCACCTTTACCACCACGCTAGGCAAACTCGGGAAGGAAATGATGCTTTTAAATCATCTTTTCCACAGAAAAGACTTTTAAGGGAAGTCTTTGTCTCTTCAATAATTAACTATGCACTCTGGTGAGTCATTATGGGATTATAGGCTGTAGACTGACGTCATGGATGTACACTGAACTCTTAGGTCCTGCAGTGCAGTGAGGAGCAACCCTCACATCAGCCTGAGGGTCGGGGTGCTGGGGGTCACAGCAGCTCGCCTGTGCCTCCTCCACGTGACAGGGCCCAGATGCCACATATGAGCAACAGGGGATAGCATCGAGGGGTTGGGGAGCAGAGCCAGTTTGGTGTCCACGTACACCATCACTGAATCACAGATTTTTAGAATATTTATGTTGGGATTGATTTTTTAGGTTTGCCATTCATCAGAAAGAGGGATGAAGTTGAAAAGTAGGAAAAACATGAAAGCTATATTTAAAATGAGCCTCCAGTGTATCTGGGTAGATTTCATTTATTTATGCTTACTGCTAAGTGAATATAGCTAAGTGCATAGTTTAAATTTCGTCATTCTCTGTTTAAAATGCTTAACAGTACAAATGCTAGCTGAATATATAATATAAAAGATAACTGAAAAAAGCATTACCACATTTTATTCCAGAGGCACACATTAGACAGTCTGCTTCAATTGTGAGCTTTGCTCTCTAGAAGCCTTTGTTTCATATATTTTATACTATCAGAGAGCTTGGCTTGTTAGATTTTCATGGGTTAAAGCCTCTAATTATGGTTAAAGTCTTCATTAAAGAAGTGGAAACTAGCCTTGAAAACCTAAGTATCCTCAAATGTGTGTTTCACTGACACGTTAATTGTTCATTTCTGTGAACCTGAATCCACTTTTGTCTCCAGCCCTAACACAGAAGCATTCAGTGACTAAGTACTTGTTTGCGAGCTCTTCCATAGGAATTCAGAGCAGTTGGATCTTTAGTTCTGTATTGGGCTAGGTTGACATCATTCTTTTTGTGAATTCAGTCAGTTTCCATTGATGATGTAGATGATTCCAGCTAGCTTTCCATTTGGAACTACATGTAGGAAACACACTGGTTTTAAAATGGAATGATCCTTTCTATATTAATTTCTAACCCTTCCTCCCTGATTCCTGTGCTTGTTAATAACGTTATTGCTGTTTGTACTTGACCAGGGCTTTAAACAGCACTCTCCCTCGGTTTATCCAAGGGAAACTCGGCACAGTGATGAACGCCATCTCCTACCCACAGAAAATGGCATCAGCAGTGAAAACCTAGTGTTCTAGAACTTTGAGGCACCAAATAAAATAATGTCAAAGCTAAAAATGTCAATAAATAATGTCAAATAAAATAAATAATGTTAGCCAGAACTGAGAAATCTTAATGCCCAAGCTTTGGATAAATGAAATAGAAGTACTAAACTTTCAAACAATATATTTGAGGCAGATACTCTGGTTTATCTTCAGATCGTATTAATCTTTCACCTTTTACAATATATTTGAGGCAGAATGATAAGTATGTGTTGAATTTTTACCAATCATATTTCATGTCAAGTATCATAAAACATTTATAAAAATTAATCATAAATTCAGAGGTCCATGACAAGTCTAAATTTTCAAAAGCAAAAGTTACATTTTCCACAACATCTAATCAAAATGAAATTAAGTTAGAAACTTGAGTGTTGAAATAAGAATATATGACCTTGGAGAGTTTGTATTGCTCTTTTGTTTGTTTTTGGTGGCACTGAGGATTGAATCCAGGGAGTGTGGAGCTACATCCCCCACGCTTTTGTTTCTCTTTTGGGATGGGTCTCACTAAGTTGCCCAGGCTGGTCTTGAACTCAGAATCCTCTTGCACTATCCTGCCAGGTAGCTGGGGGCTACATGTCACCATGCTGGCTCTTTTGTGATCTTTTAACACTTAAGCAGACTAAAAAATACAATGATAGCTTTCTTGGCAAGTAATAAAGACTGTGTCTGTATATCTGTCTGTACACACACATCGCAAAACCTATACAACCAAAGTTGTGCTAAAATGAAAATTTATATCTTTAAATAGCTTAGTTGAGGGCTGGTGAGATGGCTCAGTGGTCTAAAGCACCTACTTAGAACAAGCTTAGCAAAGCACAGGGACCGTGGTTCAATCCCCCAGCACCACATGCCAGCCAGCCCCGCCCCCTGGTGGGCTGAGCTGGCCACGTGCGCACACACACACACACACACACACACATAAATAAATAAAATTTTTATTAAAAAAATAATAAAATTTAAAAAAATAAATAGCTTAGTTGATCAAAAGGAAAATAAGCAAATATTCAAATTAGGATTTTACAAAAAAAAACTCAGAACAATAAGAACTTTATGGGACTTGAAGGATAAAATAAATATAAAAAAGAATTTAAAACAAAAATGGTGAAGGACAACAGTGGTTAATAATGCATCCAGTCACATCAAAAAAAAGAGGAATTAAGTTAGGAAAGACATTCTGTGAACAGATATAGAAGAAGATTTGTGTTTTGCTTTGTTATACAAGATCTTGGTCACAGCCCAGGCTGACCTCCCACTCTTGGGCTCATAAGAGCTTTTTGCCTCTGAGTAGCCAGGTGTCCATTGTGCCTGGCTTTAAGAGAATTGCTTTAATCATGAAAGAAACCACACAGCTCTAAGCTAATGGTTTGAAAATCCCTGTGAAATGAATTGAGAAATACCACCCGACATGAGTTTCATGTTGGATGATGGTAATAATCTGGAGACGGGGTGGTGATGATACACATAGTATGGGTGTGCCTGATGCCACCAACTGGTCCACTTGGAAACAGCCACTGTGATGATGACATTATGTTCTAGGTATAGAAAACCTGGCCAGAGCAATAAAGGAAATTACCCAAAAACCAGATGGATAGGACACATTTAACTCCTATATGAATTTATTAGGGTTGTTTTTACATTTTTAAAAGACATAATTCTTGTTTTATATACACATTTCCACAATGTAGGTGGAAAACAGCAAAACAAAGTGGAAATTTTCCAATTCATTCCATAGTGCAGACACAGAACTGCCTCATACCAAAACCGGAGAGCCTGCCCCGTAGCTCAGTTCTTTAAGTGGCTGCTTCAACAAAGCAGTCAGGCTCAGGTTGCTGTGGATCGATCCCCACAACTCAAGCCAGCCAAACCTGCCCTGAAGGCATTTGGAGCAAAAAAAAAAAATCCTTCTGCCAAAACCAAATTTAAAATATCCCAAACAGTAGGTGTATCTGCCTATGAATGTGGACATAAGATTTTAATGGGTCAGCTGGACCACATAAATCCTCCTAGATTACTGTCTACCCCAGTCCCCACACAAGGCCTGATTTCACACAAGGCCTCAACAGATGACCTAGGATAGGCATATGGATGTTGTCAAATGTAGCATCCTTTAGACTCCATTCCAAACAGAGTGGTCCCCTGGAACTCATGCCCAGAAAAAAACTGGAGTAAGTGACCAAATCCAAGACAAAGATGTAAAATTCTAGCGCTTGTTTATCAACAATCACTAGTCAGAAAAATGTAACAATTTTTAATCGAATTGTAGCACAATAGAGAATGCTCATAAGAATTATTTATAATGTAGATGCACAAGGCTCTGAACTTTGCTGATTTTTTTTTAAAAAGAACTGATGAGATTTACTGTTTGATGACAAGAAAACTAGGTTTTGTAACAATTCCAGTTTTCCTCCATACAGTATACCCAGGCAGAATTTTTCTTAGAACTTTACAAAGAGAGATTATTTTGGTAGAATAAATCATCAAGAATAAAAAATAATCTAAAAAATAAAGTGATGAGGGGCTGGTGAGATGGCTCAGTGGTCTAAAGCACCTACTTAGAACAGCTTAGCAAAGCGCAGGGACCGCGGTTCAATCCCCCAGCACCACATGCCAGCCAGCCCCGCCCCCTGGTGGGCTGAGCTGGCCACACACACACACACACACACACACACACACAAAATAAATAAAATTAAAAAATATATAAAAAAATAAAAATAAATAAATAAAAAGTAAAGTGCTGAGAAGAGACTAACATACCTCATAAAGTATAAAAAATAAAGTAGGTGCTAGAGATGGAGGGAAGGGTCTCTTCCTTCTTCACTGTTTCTGTTAATTTATTTTGCTTGGTATTTGTATCCTTACTGTGCTCATAGTGTTTTGCAAGGGACAAGTTTCCATTTGGATGATGAGAACAATCAAGATGGGGGGTGGTGAAGGTTGCATAGCAGTGTGGACGTGCTTAAATGCCACTAACTTGTCTATGTTAAAACAGTAACAGTGGTAACTTTATGTTATGTCAGCTTTCCACTCATGGGAAAAATCCAGAATTCACTCTCACAAGCTGCTGACTGTAGACGTGATGACTTCTGAGGACCAACAGAGCCTACCCAATCCATAGAGGAGAAAAATCGTTACTGCCTAGCATGATGTGGGAAATGCTAAGTAGGATTATAGTCATACCATAGTACATTCACTAGACCCAACAAGATTTAAATAGGTGGCTGGATATACCCTGCACATCTGGTCCCTTGGACAGTACTCAAATTGCCAGGTCATCCTGGTGTGGGTCAGAGGACTGTCAGACTAGCTGCCTTTAAGGATGCTGCTGTTCTTTGCTGTTCAGCTTACTTCCATATGAAACTGATGCTGGGTTTTATTTTTCTATAGTTATACCACTGATGGTTGAAATCACCTATTTGAATTTCATTGGCTAGTTCTAATTCCTTTTTTTCTTTGTGTGTGTGTGCAACCAGGGATTGAACTGAGGCCCTTGGCTTGCCAGGGAAGTGCTTATTCCACTGAGCCATCTCCCCGGCCCCAGCTACTTCTAATTCTTAAGTATTTGGAGATCAAGAGACAAAGTATATTTTATGGAGTTCTTCAGACTCCAACTTGTGTGGGACAGAAGGGCACCTTTAACCAGTCCTCATATGAGGTGGTGTGGGCATTATTTGCCTATCATGGTCATTTTCTGAAAAAGAAAATGTCATTTTCCTTTTTAAAATTAAAACACACACACATATAAATGAGCTGTAAGCCTTTAGAAAAATACTTAGATCATTATTAATATTCTGACTTTCACCTATCTATAATTATCATTTTATTAGTTACTATTGACAGTTGTCTTGATTACTTTTAACTTGTTGCTAGGACAAATACCCAACACTCAAAATTAAGGAAGGAAAGGTTTATTTAGTTCACAGTTTATGGTGGTTTCAGTTCACACTTTGATGGCTCCAAGACACACGGAGCTTCGGCAGAAAACAATAAAGAGCAGAGGAGGTGCAACAGCTGCGGGGTCCATCCAGCCTCTCCTTTTGCACTTAACTGCAGTGGCATAATGCACATTGGGACTTCTCCATGAAGGGAGGGCAACCGGCAGGCAGGCGACCAGCAGAGAAGCCTACCTCAATTCCTTTACATACACTTTTCATGTTGAATCACTCTGGGGTGGCCCATTGCACACTGCACCATGCCCCAGGGCTGAGCCAATTTTGCCCCGGAGGGGCCCAATTGCACCCTAGGGTGGAACCAATCAAGCCCCAGGGCACCCCCCCCCCCCCCCCGCTGGTGGAACCACAGAGCCGATCCAGCCGAGCTTCCAGCATCAAGTTGACACGATGTATCAACTACCACAACAGTATGGATCTTTATTAATGGAGAATATAGGTGAAAAAAAGGATACCAGAAGTATATATTGAATAGAATAACCCTGAAAGAATTACACATAAAACCCAAAACTATTTTTAAAACAAACAAGAAATGACAATTTTGTAACATTTATTTCTGCTTAGCTTGTTTATATGCATTGAATATAGACTTGTGCCTCACTTGCTTTTACTTTAAACTGTTTGTGCTTCTGCAGGTGGGTTCGGTGGTGGCTGTGGGCTGGATCCGTTCCCGCAAGGCCGTGGACTGGCGCCTCTTCCGGAACATTTTTGTGGCTTGGTTTGTGACTGTCCCCGTGGCTGGCCTGTTCAGTGCTGCAATCATGGCTCTCCTCATGTATGGGATCCTTCCATACGTGTGATTTGTGGTCTTCCAGCCAGTACACTGCTAAAGGCTCAGTCCAGCATGGGTGTGTGGAAGTCATGCACCCGCGTCATCCACACACACCTGAGCACACATGGGCTGTCCCTAGCCACCTCTCCACATCCTTGTCAGACGTTCCTACCACACCGCTCGCCAGGCTACGGCGACACACCATCAGAGCTAACCGAACTGCTGTATATAGTAATGTGTGTTAAACTGTCTTGTGGTACAAGGTGGCGCAATTACTTATATACTAAATATACATTGTACACATAGAATAGGTAGCATTGCAAACATACTCAAAATGGGAGTGGAGATTATTGCCTAGAATTCAGTATTAATAAATCATGTACATAATGATTTCAGTGGCAAATGTTAAGAACTTTACAGAAGAAAGTGTAGATTGGGAAAGGGTTTTTGCCAAATATTTTCCCCTTTTAATATACTACAAGATGAGTGAGATACACAACACAAACTTGGGCAAGTGTATGTAGGTGTGACTGTTAATGCTGGGACAAGAGGTCACCAGTGCTTTCACTGAGAAATGTGTTCATATGCTGTGTATCAATTATTGTATAATATATCATACTTGTTTTTGTAAATACAGTACTTAAAACTGTACTTTTTTTAATGGTGTGGTTCCCTTATACTTTTTTGAGCAGAGAATTTTGGAAAGTACCAAAGAAGCAGGGGAATAGTTTGCCAGTATTAATTTCACTTTGCCTGTCTCCCTTCCCAAGCTCACTCCCATTGCCTGGGATGGATGAAGACCAGCCAAGCTCGAGCTCGCACCAGAGCAGGGTGTGTGGTCGAGCACCAGCCACACCTCACATTTGTGTCATGTTTTGGTCCCCCGCCACATCCCACAGCAGCACCACTGCTGCCACATACCAGATCCTGCTCAGCCCCACAGTGGCCTTTTATTGTCACCAGCGTGGAGAATGTACTGATGTAAGGGTATGACTAAGCACTACATAGCAAGTCCAGGTGAGTTTCCACCCTGCAGCCTGCACCACAGAATTCCTGTCTCAGACATTAAAGTCCCTGAGGCTTTTGATGTGCTTTGACATTTTAGAAATCTGGGAGCTAAGGGAGTTGAAATATTGGAAAATACACTGGGTTTGAGGGTTTCCTTGACGCCTTTACATCCCAACGCTCTCCTATAGTCCACTGGATCATCTTCTCTTGATAGCACGAGGGAAGAAGTCTGACTAATGTTAGAGCCTGAAACTATGGAAATGCTGCTAAAATTTTTATATTGACAAACATTTTCACGGCACTTCATTGTGATTTTTCATTAATCAAACATATTAAATTTATAATAAAAAAATACCCCTCAAAAGTTTGCCTCTGAAGTCTGTTCCAAAATATCCTAATTTTTTTTCCAGTTTCCACCTGAGTTCAATGTTCAATCCCTGGTTCCACCAAAAAAAAAAAAAAAAGGAATTAAAATGTGAAAGTTATGGGGAAATGCAAGTCAAAACCACACTGAGATTGTATCTCACTCCAGTCAGAATAGCAGTCATCAAGAATATAAAAACAAAAACAAACAAAGAAAACTAAGGGACTGTAGAGAGAGCGCAGTAGAATAAGCGCTTACCTGGCAAGCACAGGATCCTGAGTTCAATCCCTGGTATTGGGGGGGAAAGGAAAAAAAATATATATATATATATATATACACACACACACACACACACATACAGAAAATGCTGGTGAGAATGTTGGGAGCCAAAGGAATCTTTCCTCACTGCTGGTGGGAATGTAATTAGCACAGCCATTATGGAAACTGGTACCAGGTTCCTTCAAACCTAAAGACAGAGCCACTGTTTGACCCAGCTGAACCACTCCTTGATGCATACTCAAAGCAACTGAAGCCAGCAGACTATAGATACCTACACACTGGAGCACATTCCAGAACAGCTCATGGACAGAGAAAACATACACACCATGAAGTCAGCCACATGACTAAATTCTGGCATTACAAGAAAATGGGTGCATTCAGAGATTATCATGTTGAGTGAAATAATCCAGATTCAGAAATATGACTATCATATATTCTCAATATGTGGAATTTAAAAGCAATGACAAGGAAGTAGAAGGGAGACTATTAGTAAATAAGAGGAAGGGGAGAGGGAGGGGCTGGGTAAGGGCAATCCATGGGAAATATTATGTGCAAAAACACACATTGAAACCACCCTGAAAATGTAATGAGGCGGGCAAAGGAGCCAGAGGAAGGGGTTGAAAATAAGCAGTGTGTTGTATGTACAACTAAGTCTGTCAAAATGAAACCCATTAATCTGTACAGCCAGGGAAAAGTGGATAAAATTAAAACTGTGGAACTGACAGTTTTCAGGTGCCTTTTATTGTTCTTCCCCCCCCCCCCCCCGTATTCTACTACCATTACATAGTTGTACAGAAAATACACATGAAAAAGAAAAGGCTAGAACAGCCCACAGGCACCAGGGTCCTGAAAACATTCCATCATGGAGCTGGCCTAAGGGGGCTCTGTCCTCATCAGGACACCAGTTTCCAGCTGAGACCCTGCAAAGGAAGCAGTTACTACCTCAGTATTTATCAGGGCTATGTTTTGTTGCCCTGAAGTCTTGAAGTTCTGGGCTCAAGTGATCCTCCCACTTCAGGCTCTTGAGCAGCAGGTAGGACCACAGCATACCGCACTACACTCAGCTTCAGCACTTCAATTGTTTATGCTTCCTTTCTGGAGGTCTGCTCTGAGGACAGCATTATCAGGTGAAGAAAAGAAAGAAAAAAAAAGCAGAGTTCCATAATGTTTTATTTTCTGAGGCATTTCTAGATAAATAGATGCACCTTGACATCACGCTCTTCATGAAATAAATTGGACACACATGTCAATATAACATTGTCTGTGGCATGAGAAACCAAGAAGTATTAAAAAAAAGAAAAGGACCAAAATGTATAACACATATTGTGAAATAGAAAATGTTCAAATGGGCAAGTAGAAAGGAAGGGACAAGAAATAAAACAGAGGAAAAAAAGAAATAAAATGGAAGCAAAGCTTGTGTAAATAAGGAGAAAAGCGGTAAGGGGAAGGCAGGAGAATGGGGGAAAAGTGTATGTACAGGTACAAATTCCCTATGATGAATGTGATCATCATGTGTATCTAAGGTGTACCAATACAATTAATTTAAAAAACAAAAAACAGAGCTAACCAAGATAAAACAAGAATTGAACAAAAACAAATGTGGATCACCTGCTTGCTTGACGGAAACTGGCAAGCCTTGGAGAGTATGTTCACAAGGAAATGGAGCCTTGCTCATAATAAACTCTCATCCTCTTCAGTATCTTCATAAAATATCATCCTTTATTACTTAAAAAATAATATACAATAAAAAATAAACCTCCAAAGTACCTTATGAAAAAATAAGTAAATTATACTCCATCATCCCACAACATCAATTTCTGAAAGTCTCCTTTTCCTTATTTTAGTTGGCCCTTCAAACATGAGCTGGCCAGCACCGGGGACACTGAGGCAGGCCTGAGAGAATCCAGGCAACTGCACAGGGGACAAGAAAGGGCAAATCAGGCTTTCACTGACCTGCTCCATCCCTGCTGTCCCCACCACTTCAGCAGCTGTCACTGTCTTCAGCCGAAGTCTGTCTTCACAGAAGCAGGTGGTACACAGATGTGAGTGCCAGGTGCCCCAGGCCCCTACTCTACCACACCCATTTCTCCCAAGGGCAGGGAGGACACTGCCCCTCTGTAGTCCTGCTCAGATTTCTGTACACCTAAAGTGCTTCAAGAAATCAGTATTTTTAAAATTTTATCTTTATAATAAATACTTTAATAACAGGACTGTGCAATAGGCATGGGAGGAAGGTACAGGGAAGGGACCCAGTGGCATATGACTAAGAAGTTGGAAAGTAAGCTTGGAAGGAGGGAAAAGGGCTGATTCAGACTTTCTATACAGGAAACCTGAGGAATCAGGTGATCTTAGGTAGAGTTTCACATTCAAGAACAACTATGCGGCAAGATCAAAATTTACTTATACAAAAAAGGGATTGTGGTCACAATAGACAACTTCCTTGTCTTTCCCAAGGCAAAGCCTTAGAAATTTCAACCTATGTGTGGACAAGGGAGCAGCAAGAAGGCCAAAGATGGACTGAAGGTCCCAGGGGCAGAAAGCACGGGAGACAGTCTTGACTGCAGCCACCATAGCGGCACCTAGTGGGGTCGAGTTTAGTTGCAATTATGACTGCCCTTAGGCAGCCTTTTGTTTTTTTAAAACTTTATTTATTTGTGTGTGTGTGTGTGTGTGTGTGTGTGTGTGTGTGTGGCCAGCTCAGCCCACCAGGGGGCGGGGCTGGCTGGCATGTGGTGCTGGGGGATTGAACCGCGGTCCCTGTGCTTTGCTAAGCTTGTTGTAAGTAGGTGCTTTAGACCACTGAGCCATCTCTCCAGCCCTTGGGCAGCCTTTTGAAATTGCAGCAGGGGATCATCTTATAAAATGTTAATTTTATCATAACTCAGAGCTGCAAGAAATGACAGGAATTTTCTGTGCATCTCTGATGCTCACAAATAACTATGACTGTACGAAGAGAGGCAACTCATACTCATTTAGTAAACATCAGAACTGAGTGCTGGCCTGGCCACCAGGGGAAGACACAAGCACTGGCCTCAGGACAGGAGAGTGCAGCCCCACTGAGTGGCAAGGTCCTCGGGCACAGGAGGGTTGGGAAGTGGCTCAGGAGGGTGATTATGTGGCACCCTCTCCTAGGGGGCCAAGCCAAATCTGGGCAAAAGCAGGGACAGCATGGCTCCAAGTGCACACAATTAGTACCATGCCCTGTGCTCTGGGCCAGGCCATCTGTAGCACCTGCTCCTGACCCTGCATCCCCCTCCCCCAGAGTAGAGGAGCAGATGTGACTAGGCATCCGGTTAGCAGTGATCAGAGAACACCCTGTCATCCAGCCTGTGTGAAAATGCAGAGACAATCCACACAGTCCAGCACTGTTGCTGATCACACTGAGCTGAGTTCCAGGGTCCTCTGTTCTCCACAAGGAGAGGACTGGCCTCTATCCACTGACACCTTGTCCCAACAACTCGCAGGGTGAGAAAGAACAGGGTTTTCTTCCTACCCACAAATGAGAAGGCCCCTGTGGCACCTATCATGTCTAAGTAAAGGCACACAGAATCTCCAAAAGCTCCTCACAAACACAATACATATATACTGAGAACCAAGTGTAGTCAGAAAAGGTGGCCTGTACTCCCAGTATCCTCCCCCCAAAACCAAAATACACTAGAACTGAATGTTAAGTGAAAGCAGAAGAAAAGAGGACAGAACAAGCAGAAGAAATGGGATCTGGAGTGCCAGGAATACACTCCAAGGCAAAGGTGGACCACAGTGCAGGAACAGCAATCCTCACACACGTGTGTACATACACCAACGCTGCAAAGTAGCTGAAGAATAACACAGAAATAGCTTTAGCTTGACCTCAGATCCTAACCTATCTAAGGCTCCAGGACCTGAGATTCAGACAAGTTAACAATGAGCTTCCAAGGTCAAACACATTTGACAATCAAATGAAAACTGGGCCCCTCCTTGCCCCCTGAGCAGATACTCAAGTATGATGGCTTAGCAGTGAATCACAGTATCTTCCTGGTCACTGCAAAGACAAATAAATACACACAGTATCATGTGTTGACTTAAATCTCCTGCAGCAAGATTTCAGCAGCTTATGCCTGGGCTGAGCTCAGTGAGAAAGTGTATGTTTACCCTACACAACTCCCCACACTCAGAAGTGCCACTGAAGAAACCTCTCATGTGTTACTGTATTCAGGAAAGCAGCACGGATCTCTCCCACCATTTCCACAAGGCACTGTTCTGAGGGGTGGCGTGCAGGCACAGGCACAGGCACATGGTGTCTTGCCTTGGCCCAGAACCCCAGCACTCTGCCTGCGCCGTCTGGGTTCCTGCAGCGCTGTAGCCCTGCTGTGTGCTGTGCTGCCTGCCACAGGCCTTCTGCCTCGCCCAGTGACACTCGGATGGAAGTTTTCCTCGTTATAAATTCAATTCAGAAAACTGGAAATAAAAAAATTACTTATAATTCCACCTTCCTAGGATAATTAAATATTAACATGTTGGAGCTTTTTTCCTTACATTTACATATACATTTTTAAAGCTAAGATTGTTATTCTTTTTCTTCTGCTCTATTTACCTTTTCTGTAAGGGAACATTTCTTTATGTTTTCTTAAGTATTTTGATTTGTACTAAGTATTGTTCCACTTAATGAGA